TTCTGATTCATCCAAGAGAAGCTAAGAGGCATCTGACTTCTTTTCTGTCTTCTGAGCAGTTTCATAAGAGTTAAAATTTGTATCGTGTTTGTCTGTAAGGGACAGACAAATTTCTGAACGTTGGAACCACAGAGCAAAAATCTTCCTGCCTGTCTGAGCCCCCCCAGAATACATGTACTCTGCATGTGGGAAGAGGAGCAGCTATCCTGGGAATGGTAAACGAGGCGGGGAGCTGACACTAGGTTTCAGGGGAGATCCTGCAAGGCACTATAAAATGACACGCTGTTGCTACAGCCAGTCCAGCAAAACAAAGAGTGCTTAGGAGTGCTCCCAGGACCGGCCGTGACCGTCTGTAGTGCTGCGCTGTCAGCAGGGTCCCTGGCACACTTTTGACCTGTGCCAACTAATGTTTACCTGAACTGTTCCCCAGGGTCATTTGGCAGTTCACATGCCCCCAGGACCATTCAGAGTGACCATTGCACACAGCCACCTCGTTAGGGAGGCCAAGAGAGGTCGCTAGTGTAATGTGGGCCACTCCAAGCCACCTGGCCGCAGGACCTCGGAGCGTTCCTAGGCACACGTAATGGTTCCTAGGCACACTAGGTTAGGCATGGACTTCTGATCTGGGTATTCAGCCAGAGTCCTAGGATAACCCAGCAACTCCTGCTGGCCCCACTTTTTCCCACCTTTGGGGATTCAGATTACCCAGTGTCAGAGCTGATCTTAGTATGAAAATAACATTGCAACAAGCTGTTTATGCTTTACCCTAAGACACTGTCATTTGACTAGTATTCCAGGCTGCCGTCTCAAATGCAGGTTATTTATCAAAATAACCTGAACAACATATTTGGATGTGAAGAGAAACACTAAGGAGTGAAACTCTGAGCTGCAGAAAACTCCCAGTCATGTAAAGCTAAACAGTGGGACAGGAAAAAATGCTCCAGAACTGTGACTTTTTTTGTTTATCTTGTTTTATCTTACTCTTACTGCACAGAGTTCTTTGTATCAGTCCTATACAGGTCCGTAGAAGGCCAGAGCTGAAAGTGAGATGTGGAAACTGCCGTGCTGGCGTGTTGTAATTATGCTTTTACAATAGTCCTAGCATTTCCCCCTGTGGAGTGAAGGGGATATCCTGCTTAAAGGGCCATGCTTGAAAACCAAACTCACAATAGACAGCTATATTTTCGTTACATCCGCTTTTCAGAGCCAGTTTTGATGTCACTGTTGCTGTTCTTTAAATTGGGCTTTAGCGCAATTCATATAAACAAACTGCTGAGAACTGATCTGTGGAGAGACCAGCACAAGCTAGCGAAGACGGTGGGGCTGAGCATGATGACCCCATCCATATTCTCTCGTATGCCATCCCCAGACAGGTCCCACCCTCAACTACTTTTCATCATTGCCCCGGACCTTGCAACAAGCAGCTTGTCTGCTGCTCCTCACGTAGCAGAACGAGGTCAGGAGAGGAAGAAGGTTCTGTTGTCCTTGAAATCAGTCCTCATGCGCTCTCACTTGCTTGCCTCCTCTACCTATTGCAGATAATCCCCTTTTCCTTTGATGTTACTTGTCCTATTTTAAACTTGAGTGCGAGGAAAAAACATATTATCCTTGTCTTTATGTATCTTTGTGGCTTATTTCCACTCCAGTCCCTTTGTGATATCTCTTCAGGGTCCCTCCTTGAAAGAAGAGGCAACTCATGCAATAGATGTCTAGTTCAGAGGCATCAAGAGATAATTCTTTCCGACTGGCCCTTGCACACATCAGGCCACAGCTGCTTCCTAGAGGCCACAGCAAATGTGAAAACCAAAAAAAGTTTACCATCAACTGCAACAACAGCCTACTACAGGAAAAGAGCAGGAGGGACAAAGGCCATCACACTTTACTCAGTCCCTGCAATGTTTCGAGTGATTCAGTAGGTTAAAACACAGATGATGCTAGCAAAGAGACCATAGCAAGTGTTTCAGGCGAGTGCGTCAACAGTCTGACTTGGGAGAACTTTGCCTCCTCGACTCATATCTAGCATTTGATTTGACCTTGAACTCATGAGCAAGATGCACCCACAAGGCATTAACAAATGTCATGATCAGTAGGTACATCCAGGTTGTAGCTGGGCTCGCTCTTGAGAGAAAGACTCAGAAAAAGGAAGAAATATATATTCCCTTAGAAGCCAGATTATTCATACATCAGGAAGGAAAGCATTTTTATTGGGCTCTACAGAAAAGCAGTGGCTTAAAACAGAAAAACAGTGGCTTAAAACTATGTTGAGTTGATCAAAACAAATATGAATCAAATCTTTTTCAAACATCTACCTTCACCTGTTTCAGAGTGCCAATAACTTAGTCATCTTCGAAATTCTATATGAATAATATCTTTGTGTAAATTATAATGCATATCGTCATAAAATTCACATTATGTCACGGGAAGCAAGAGTGGGATACGGTCCGCATGGCTCAAGCATTTACTTTGAAAGGTTTGGACATTTTAAGTGAGCTCATGATGAATTTCATACTGGCTGTCTAACTCATATGCTGCGTATCAGAAGAGATCAAGCATTTGTGTTCTAAATTGGCTCTCTCTGGAATATAATAGCAGCTTTCAAACTCCCCACGTGTTATCTATATATTTTAAATTATAAATAGGGTCATGTTTGTGAGTTAATGGCTTTAGTTCTTAAAGTGCCAAAACTTTGATCAACACGTGTAAAACAATTGGCTGAAAACGATGATTTTGATCAATGCTTTTTACATCAGTGTACATTACCTACAGTATGATAGGAAACATAGCCATTACTGAAACTTTTAATATCTGCAGTTACGAAAATGGTACTTGGGAATTTTAAAAAGATTAGATAACAAAAGAACATTTGAGGTAGTACTTCTCAAGAGCACTTTTAGGGTATGTAAGCCAGTTACAGAGCTTACAGCACAAATCATTGTAGTTTCTTATTTTCTTACAAAGTTTATTTAAGCAATAATCCAGCTACCCAGAATCTCATTTATATTGCTGCAATCCTATTTTTCCTTTTATGTTGTATATTTTATTTATATAACCAGTGGTGGAAACTTGACCTATGAACAAAATCAGTCCTGTAGTTTTGCTACTAAATATGGGTAAGGTAAAAATCCTGATTGCACTGAAGACTATAGCAGTATTGCCATTTTAGCCATAGGATCACACATAGACAACTGACAACAACATGGCTTCACCGTGCAGCCAAGGATTCTGAGAGCAACACATTTGGAGTCAACAGAGAAGTCAAAGCTGCAAGCTCAGGCTTCATGTGGAACAAGATGTCAGCTGTAACACAGTAACACATTTAGGCTGAATAAAGCTTCCATTCTTTAATCAGTGTAACTGTCAAACTAATGCAACTGTAACTTCTTAGTTTACATACCAGCATCACACAGGGAAGAAATTTACTTCTAACCAAACACAAAGAAACCTCATCTACTCATTCAAATTATACCTTATTTGAAAACACAGGCATAGCATGGTTGTTGCCTGGGGAATAGGGGAGGTACAGCATGAGTATTTCTAAACATTTCCAGCCTCACCCATTTGTTGACAGACCCTTGAGTTATTTTGGAAGCTCTGTCTCTGCTGCCTGCCATGTCAGTTATTATATTGAAAATTTAATTGTACAAGGGCTTTGACACTGAACTTTATAAATTTGTTCCAACTGACCTTGTCTCAGTTATTTGCCAGTCTGGCACAGAGCCTTAGCATTCATTATTTGTTCTCATGCAGTAGGTAGAAGCAGCATAGAGCAGGAGATAAAATGGACCTGACATTTTACATGACTGTAAATGAAAAAGCAGCTTTAAATAAAGAGATTACTATGCCAGCCACAAAGTGTATTACGTTTCTCTCAAATAGACTGAATTTAGGTTGTACAGAATTACTTTGTACCGTGGGTGCGTCTGCTCTTTTGTGATGTTTTCAAACTTCTATGTAAGTTCATTTTTATTTCAGCATTCGCTTAATTACTCTTCTCTGCAGACATCTTCAGCAAAAGTTCTGGAGAAAGGCTTTTACGTTGCGAACAAAGTACAAGTCACTGCAACACATCAGAAGTAAGAAAAAACATATCAGAGTTCAGATCACCATCTTGATGTTTCATGAAGTTTCAGAAATCTGAAGCACATTTTTAAATGTTTCCTTGAAAACATCACAATGAAAAAAGAACAAAAGTAAAAGCCAGTGAAAATGTGGCATATTTTTAGTGCCTGTTTAAAACCTCATGTCTGCTAAAGGATCAGTAGATTTACTATTTCTTTACACAAGTGTAAGAGCAAGTTTTTCACCTGTAGAATCCCGAGAAGGGCAGTACAACGTGCAGTTGAGCTCCCTCTGTTGGCTCTACAGCAACTGAAGTGTTTTTAATAACTTATTTCTCAAAATAAATATGTTAGCAACATTGATCTCTATTTAAAAAATATTTTTCTCTGCTGCTAAAAAATACTAATTTCAGTGCTCATGGGAATCATTGGTTAACAAGAGGTAAGAGGGTAAAAAAGACTCAGGAATGAGTTTTATTTTTGGCTTTTAAAATGGGTACACAGTACATGGAAAGCCAAATCACCTTTCAACTCCACAATTTAGTGATTTACAGATTCTGAAAGAGAAACTCTTATTGCGTTTCTTATACCTTTTTTTATTCCATACTTGAAATGATTGGCAGAGGAAAAACAATTCATGCTCAGTCCACAGAGAGGCTCTGTTCAAAAATGATCAGCCTGTGCTTTCAGTGAACTGGTGGCTCCAATGGAGAGCTCACTGCGGTGATCCAGCTAACTAGAAGAATTGTGAACATGATGTGAGGTCTCAGGGATTAGGTTGCGAACAAGACGGAAACGTAGAATCTCCAGGAAATGAAAACCGATGTGGCAACCTGTGTCCTTCCTTTGGGGTTGCGTTCTTAATGATAACTTCTTATATCCATTGTGTGAATTCACTGTTCTTTTCTCAGAATCAATTTTTTCTATTTCTTTTTCTCCTAGACGTCTGGATGCCAACCACATCAACTATGTGCCCCCCAACTGCTTCAGTGGTTTGGTCTCCCTTAGACACCTGTGGCTAGACGATAATTCTTTGACAGAAATTCCTGTCCAAGCTTTTAGAAGTTTACCGGCACTACAAGCGATGACGCTGGCACTGAATAAAATTCATCACATACCAGACTATGCTTTTGGAAACCTCTCTAGTCTGGTAGTTTTGTAAGTTTTATTGATTGTATTTTAGCCACAATCTGTGACTTCTTTGCCAGGCTTTTGCCTCTTTGTGACAAATTACTTCAAGATGCAATGTTTAATTTAGACTTCGCTTGAGACAACCTTTAGTAATTAAATATTCCCCTAGTTCCCCCCCATTTGGCAACTGATAGGTAAATACACAGGCTAGTTAAACCTCTATTTTATCTTACAATGTTAATATTAAATTGATATTTTGGGGCTATAAATCTAAAGTTTCCTCTTTATTTTAATTATATTCCTTTACCAAGAGATCAGTCACAGCAAAAGAGATTTGTAACGAAAGATGTTCTTTTCATATAGAAGCTCATTTTTATGCAGCGCACTGTACAGGTAGTAGAAAACAAAATTTAAAAAAAATCAATGATCTTGGAGAAATAGATTTTTTTTTTTTACATCTTCTTACAGTTAAACTAGTGTTTACCAAATCACTTGTTTTGATCCATCTCCAGTAAAGAACTGTGTAAGAGAATGGAAAGATCACAGCAAAACAAACAGGAACAGATAAATTGTATATCCTTTAAAACTCTAAGGCAGTATATAGTGAATGAGGGAAGATTAGAAAAAGGAATTAAACTGAAAAGCTTTCTGGGTGACTTGGAAAGAGTTCTGACCAGTACAGATGTATATAGAAAGTACTCATAGAAAGTATACGTGGTTTTGTTATTTTGATATGTTCATATGCCAGCACCGCTAAAGAAAATGGATGCAAAACTCGCACCAAAATCTGGAGGGAATACTATGGAACAAGTATTCAGTTTTTTTATCTTCTGGGAATGTACCAAGAGGAAAAAAAGTCTAGACTTTCTAAAGAAACTGAGGAGAAGAACTGAGGGAGACAAGTTACTTCAGGATACCTTGGAAAATGGTACCATTACTAAAGAGAGGATAATATAGGCCAGATTTACAAGCTGTCTGAAACTATAGTGTGTAAGAGACTTAGCATATTTTAGCATACTCTAACGTAGCAGTCTGATCCCAGTGTAAGCAGTGTACCTGGCACACTTCACGGTTAATTACTGAAAGTTATAATCACCATCTGCACCTAGTGCTTAATATGAACATTGTATATGGCACAAAAAATAAGGGGTAACAGCTGTGTTGTGCCACACTACACTGTCTTTGCCTTCTGTTTCTATAAAGTAAACTGAACTTCAGCATTACAAATCTCCTGCAGGTTAAAGTAGTTGAAGGAGAGGGTGGACTTGTCATTTGATTGAGCTTCTAGACTTAGTAATGCTGAAGATAGATAGAGAAAGTGTTGAAAATCGTGCTCTAGATACCGACCAGAAATACAGTGATATGAGGGCAGTTAAGAAATCCAGGCGAAAATCACTTCTTCGATGCCCTAATTGTCTCTGCTCAGTTAGGCCCCTTTTTTTCACATCCACCCTGCTTATTTCTGATCTTGTTGTCTTCTACGTATTAATAGATTTATTAATAATTAAATCATTCCTGATGACGTCTGATATTTTTGGCTCACCAAAATCTCCATGTGTGGTTCTACTTTCTCTCATTCAGTATGGCAAATTTACAAGTCAGTGCAAAAAATCATATCCAGTAAGAGTAGGATTGAAGCTGTAGTCATTAAAGATACAAACCTAATTGGAATTTGGAGACAAACCCTATACTAACTAGAGCTTGAGAGGTCAGAATAGTGTTTTTAAAATAAAAAAAAAAAGTTGATTAGGTTTCTTCCTAGGAAAGGAAAAAAAAACAAAATTTTCATTTTCATTTGCATTTTTCATTTTTATTCAGAATCTCTGAGTTTTATGGACTGCCCCCAAGCAGGTAGACTGAATTTCTGTAGGTTCTGCAGAACATTCAGAGAGTTTGTGATCTGTAAGATTATTTTCAGAGCAGGATGAAGCGTTGAAAGATTTCTGCCTGGCAGCTCCCCATTCACAGCCCCTCTTTTCTTTTAAAGTCCTACTCCCATAGTTTCCCTCCACTACAGGGTTAGAGTGTCAAGAGTAAAATGAAAGAGAAGTCTGCTGGGAAAAAAGCATCCTTTTTAAAAAAAAAAAACACCATGAAGTTCCTCCAAGTTCTGTCCACTCGCGTTAATGAGCTGCACACAGAATTTTGTTTGTGTGTGTCAATCTAAAGAACTTAGCAATAAACAGCGTTCTGAGCCAGAGCATGAAAGTCCCAAACTTCCGTGCGGGAAAGTTTGATCAAAATATAACATATCTTGTAAGAAAATAAAATTACTTTCAATTGCTGAACTTTTGAAAAAGGAGCTGTTGATTTTCGTTGTTTCAAAGGAATACAAGCTACAGCACGTGTAAGGTCAATTAGTTTACTCATCTCGATGAAGTTACAGCTTTTTGTGCTGTGGCTTTGTGTGTCTTCTTGCATTCCGCAAGCCTAATGTCTGTTTTCTGTGATGTGCTTTATTATCCCTCTCCTCACCTGCTCCAATTCTGTGCCATCCCCTCTGACATCCTGTGAATATACAACTTCCAAACACACCTCACACCCCCCCACAGTTTTTAAGGCAACATGTTAATTAATCAACAGTGAGAATATATGTGGTTTCACAGTACTTAATATGTAAACCCCAACCTACCAGGATATACACTTTTAAAACAATCTAGGTGGTTTTAAAACAAATCCATCTATGAAACTAAATCAAAACCTGCATGGGTGGGGAGATACCAGGAGGAAAGGGCAGGGGGGGAGTGGTGTCTCCTATACAAGCTCTTGCTAAAGCATGACTTGCATATAATCAGTGCATGCTTGAAAATAAGTTTCTTTTGATTTAACCCTCAAAATGTTTTGCTTAAGTCCACTATGTGCAACGTGCTTTCCTGACTGTGTGCTTAATGTTCCCCTGCAGACATCTCCATAACAATAGAATCTACTCCCTGGGAAAGAAATGCTTTGATGGGCTCCACAGCCTAGAGACTTTGTGAGTTGACCTCTTATTTGTTTCCCCCCCCCCTTTTTTTTTTTCTCCAGTGTTTTCATTAATAGCCTAAAAGCTAAATCTGGTTTTTGGGGAGCCTGATTGCTGCAGGATCTAAGTGATCATTCACAATGAATGTATATAACGAATCCTATTTATGACCATAAAATTAGTTTGCCTTTTTAATAAGCGTGGTCCGTTAATAAATGGTTTAAAGGATATTTGAAAACTGTATGAGGCATTGAAAAAGAAGTGGCTATTCATAAACAGTTGTGCTTGGCTAGGTTAGTATTATTTGTCTTGTTTAATCAGCAAAGCTAATAACTAGATTGGGAAACTGTCAGAATGAAAAGCTTTAGCATTAATAAACTGTTTTGCTGAGGAGTGGGTTATACAATCAGATGTTTTGACGTTTTTTATCCCTGTAAAAAACAGAAGTGTCAGGTAGCCAAGTATATGTATTTTAGAAGGGGGAGAAAGGAGTGCTTCAATTGCATCCAAGCTGTCTGTCTGCAAAGAGCTCCTTTAAAGAATGGCACTGGCAAAGACTGAAATTGCCTTAAGTTTTCACCATAGTTCTGTTCATATCACTGCAAATTTTCTTAATTTTTCTAACAAAAATTAATTCTACAGAAGAAAGCCAAACAAGAAAGCAGTGCTGATATATTGTACAAAGTATTTTGCTACAGTTAGATGAATAAAGATGTTGCCCACTGGAATAGACTACCCCAGAAACCCGAAGTGCTACAAGGACAGTAAAACCTTGCATATCCCCCACCACACCTGCTCTGTCAGCACCAGTTGAACTCTCTCTAGGGATCTTGGAGATTTTACCCAACCAGGACAGAGGCTAAAATGATGCTGACCCGTTATGAGGAGCAAGTACAAAAAGTATCAAACAAGGGTAATGCTAATCTAAGCCTAACAATTTGCTTTCTCATCCACAGAACCATATAGTATTCATGCTTCACTAAGATCAGAAAGCAAGAAATTTGTGCCTTTCTTTTTTTTTAATCCTTAGTTTTGATTGCATTAATCCCATAGCATTGCATTGCAATGTTACAGTTTTGACTTTTAGCCTGCTGTGAATTGAAAGGAAGTCCCACAGTGTACCACCGGAAAGGGGAACAGGAAAAGGAGAAGGATAATGTAATAGTTTGTTTTGTTTTTCAAATGAGATTCACATGGCATTTGGTCAAAAATGGAGAAAAAAGAACAATGGAATAAGAAATTACAAACCTAGTCCCAGCCACCTGGTGCGAAAGAGATGAAAACATAGTGGACAGCCTTGTACCTAGGAATAAGTGTAGGTGCAGCCACTTCACTGCAATAGGTCAATATAGCATTTGCTTCAAGTACACTGATTAGCAACCCACGCTGTATAGAGCAGTTTCTAGATAGTTTCAAGATAATCTGGAGAGATCACAGTGTAAATGATGGAAACCAGCTTTAGGACCGTTGGTTTGCATCAACACATAGGTCTGGAAATTGCATATCACTGGACAGCAAAACCAAACTTTACATACCCCTAATCTCTTTTTATCAATAAGTAGGAGAAAGATTTACAAGCAGGAAGGAAAGCCTTGTTGAGTTCAGACAGCAGTTTCCTGCCTGCATTACTTCAGCCTGATACTATTTCAATTTCAGTCTGTTGTAAACTGTGATTTGTGTTTTGCCCATTCAAAAAGTCTCTTACCGAAGCTTTTCAGACTATGTGCTTCAAAAAGCAGTGTCCGAGGAGCATCACAGTAAACAGGCATATCTCAGTTTTAGTTTCAGGTGTCCTCTTAAGGCTAAATGATGCACATGTGATGCTAAGGGCAGGAGTATGCTTACAGCCTTTTCAGCTTACCAGAAGGAGGTCTAAGTAGCATTGCAGCTTGAGCATTTCTTAAAGCAGAGGTCACTAGGCTAGTTAAAATACTGTTTTTACAATTTGTGTGGTTAGAAACTTTCTCCATGTGAATTTTGTCAAAACTCACAATTAACAATACAATTAATGATAATGTTGAACTTACTGGATGTTTTGCCAATTGTTTGGGCCAGGGGAAGATCTCCCCCAATCGTTTTTACCCTCCCAATTCTGATATCTTTTGTTTTTCCCCACTTAATATTTCTTGATCTCACAGACCATGAAAAGAAACATCATAGAAAAGAATGAAAGACTACTACAACTAGATAGCGAGCGAGAGGGAAATGAAGCCTTCATAATGAGACATATCAGCCATGTAAAATTCAGTTCACCATACAAAGTTGTTGAATATTCTCTTCATGAAAGTAGATTTTATTCCATTAATGCTTTGAAATAATGAAAAGGATAGGCAATTTACCAAGCAGATCCCTTGCTAGTATCTGAATCCATTTATATTTTCTTCATTGAAAAATAGCTAATGTATAATTAAAAATTGGATGCTGATCAAAAAATAGGAATGATAATATACCCTGAATGGAGTTTATTAGAAAACATCCGTATGCTCTTGAGGATTTCCTGACTTTTGGCTCATGTATTTATTTAATGCATGGAAGATGATATTTGGTTACAAATGCCAACAATTCTATGTTATCCCTTAAACACTGTATAACCTAAACAATACAATCTATTTTTACACAGAGACTTAAATTACAACAGTCTGGACGAGTTCCCCACTGCTATCAGGACACTGACAAACCTAAAAGAATTGTAAGTACTGAGCTCGTATTAGGAAGTAGGATGTTTTGTCTAGTGAGTGATTTTTTTTATGCTGATGATTTTATCAGTTATTCTTAAAAACTGATGTCCTGGAAATAGCTAATAAACAAGCCAACCTACATAAAAGATCATTTTCAACATTTAGTTTAGAGCATTTAAGTTCTGACAACTTTTACTTTTGCACTGAAATGCATTGTGCGGTTGATTTTTTTTCAGGAATTTTGTCCTTGGAATATAGTAAATAATTAACACAATAATTCATTTTGTATCCCAAACACCGCAGTTGTTTGTTTCAGGCAGTTTAGAATACCACAATCTTCTAGACTAAGAAAAAGCTGCAGCTCTCCTATTAGGCCATCAGGTTTAAATTTCTTTTGTTTCTTCCCCCTCCACTTTTAGCTTTAAATTAAAGCAGTTTTTTAAAAATATAAATAGTCCTTTGTAATGCTGTAAACCAAACACTCCCAATGCACAAACACAGTTTGCATAAAACAGAATCAACACTGAAAACTAACCGGCCAATTGTATTGTAAAAAGCAGCTGAATTTTAAAAGAACAGATGAAAATGAATGAGTTAGCAACAATGTATATGCTCAAAATTCTTTCCATTTGATTAATTTACCATGTTACTGGTAACGTCAGTATAGATTTTAAAAAGCTAGGTAATTCTCTCATAATTGGACACAGTTGTGCCACCGTTGCATCAAAACGTGATCTTAAAACCAGTTTAAGTAATTACCTGGGATTTTCTCCAAAGCAGGGAATCTCCAGGCAATGCTGACACCAGCTCAGCAGCTCCAGTGTTGGCAAAGAGTGTGGCCCTGGAGAAGGGAACGGGACTATGTGTTTCTCAGTTCAGCTATTCTCAGCTGCCACAATGTCCCCTGTGGGCTACAAATGATTACCATGAAAGCCAGAGGCCTCAAAAGATTGCCTTTTTGCTGACCTCAGGAGCCAGTAGCCAAACATGGAAAACTCCAGGTTTGCAGTAAATGCACCTTGTCCAGTCCAGCAAACTGCCTGAGATTACTTACTGGTCCCCGTAGGATCTCACCTCTGATCAGGACCTCCCTCAAACCTTGTTGTTTCAGATAATCTCCTAGGTACCAGAAATCTTAGGAGCATGAAATTGCAATCTGAAGTCCCAAATCAAGCACAGAACTTGCTTCATATGCTTCAGCGCTTTGTCTGGGCCATGGATGCTGATCCTGACAGCACGGGATCTCTCCCTTGAGGTTCTGCGTGCCCTTCAGTTCTGACCTGAGTGAGAGCCCAGGACTGTAGAGGTTTAACAGCCTGCAGGGCTCGGTTAGTAAGGGTGTTCCCAGACAGGGCCTGTTTCTCTGTCAGAATTTGTGCTTGAGCTTGAAAGCACAGAATACGGCCAGTTGTAAAGGGCTTGCAGACATCAAGGCAGCCAGTCAGAGCTGGGGATCTGTGGGCAAGTGGCCAGGGAGTCAGTGCTGTATCTGCTTGATACTATAGGAACTCTGTTGTCCCAGACGCTCTACTTCAAGATCTCAGCTGTAAGAGTAGTTATCCCTCTAAAGTAAGTGGATATACTTATTACCCAAAGTTAATACCCAAGGCATAGTAGTGTTTGCCAGACTGGATTTGAAAGATACCTAGAGAAACATTTTCCCAGTGTGGCCTTACTCTAGGCTTTTTACCTAGGAGTGCAGGTTGCGCTTTCGTTCTCTATGTGAGCAGACAACATAAAAACCAGCTTCAGTTTAGACACCACGTACCCACTGGGGTACAGTGCCATAGGAAATGGGCACAGGAAACGGGCTCTATCCATGGGCTGCGTCGCTTCCGACTAGCTCAGAATTGCTTCATGCTCATTTGCGTAGAAATGCACTGGAATCTGCTCTTGGCTGATTCACTCAACCTGTAGTCAGAATGATGATGAAGGGCCAGATATTGCCACGGGAAGTAGTCAGGCCATTTCCTTAGCTTTTCTGCCATGCAAATAATCCCCTTCAATATAGCCACACAAACAGTCGGTTTACTGGTTCTAGCTGAAATGATTCCTCACATTGACTTAGAATCTACATTTACATGGATTACATTCTTTATTACGTGCAAAAGAACGAGGAGTTAAGAGCCTTGCTCTGTAGCTCATCAATAGTAGCAGGACAACTAAATGAGTGAAAACAATATTGTGGGACCTGTTCAAGTAATGACCAAATGTACTTGCATCAGTGAACAATTTGAGCCTTTCTAAATGCATAAATTTCATCTGGGAAGCTGTTTTCATACCAGACTGAACTAATGGGAGTTTCCCACACAAATCATCATTGTTCCTTTTGAAACCTTAGTTGTTTCTTTTGTTTTTCACAATGGAGAATTATTCATATGAATAAAATCCAGTAATTGGTGACAAGGCAAAGATTTGGTCCTCTATTCAGCAGGCACAACTACATTGGAGAGTTTGTTCAAGTCCGCATCTAAAATATTACAACAAAAAGGTGGTTTGAGGAAGCTCAGCATATTACAGTATAATGTATAAAATAATTTACTTAATAACTTTACACGACTCGTTATTATCCCAAGGAAAGAAGTACTTGCAGTTTGACAAGTGCAGGGGGGGAAATATATATGTGTGTATATTTTATATATAGTACATACTTTGCGTATATGTATATACACGGGCATGTACCTACATGTATATGTGATATATAGCTGTTATGCACTGTTTCCTACTGTGCAGTACCAATTTTAGAAAGCCATTTTGCAATTTGCTTCATCCGAATGACATTTTCCACATTAAAAAGTGCAGAATTCCAGCTATTTCTTTGCTTTCTTTCTTTTGCTTTTTTCAGCTGTCTTCTTCCAGAAAACAAGGATATACCTTTAAACACAGCCACTTTTTTTATTACAAACAAAAAAATCCCAGATCATTCATTCACTTTTTTTCTGTGTAAATTATTTTTATTTTTCTAGGGGATTTCATAGCAATAACATCAAGTCAATACCTGAGCGTGCATTTGTGGGCAATCCTTCACTTATTGCAATGTAAGTAGTAATAGTTTATCCAGTAGCTCTTGTTAGAAAACGTGGAATTAAATATCATAATTGTCTCCTTCTGGGTAGCGCAGCATTATACAAGCAGACAAGAGCTCATATCTTTCCATCTTCATGGAGATGAGCAGTTTACATGCCTGTTTAAAGGGACAGTACTGCTCCCCAACATTTGACCTTTTGTTCAGACTATTCATGATGAGTCTCCTAGGATCACTGGCAGTGTAGAAGCTGGCAAAAATTACTCTTGATGGCTTCCAACCTCAGTTCCCATTGTCTTACAAATGAATGCATTTAACTGGCAAACTGCGAAATAAGAAATTGTCAAATAAATGTAAGAAAAATAGTGACTCAGCTTGAGGAATATTATTCTATGAGCAAAAGCAGCATGACTTCAAGAGTGCAATGGGACTCAAATGCTATGGATAGACAGCCTCTTCCAAATATATGAAGTTCTGGCTTTTTCACCTGCTGCATTTAAATTTGTATCATATCCTAACTAGCACTTCCTCTTTGGATTTCTATCTTTGCAAACCTGGGAGAAAGAGGAAATATTTTGTTGACTGGCTTCTAGCTTTAAAACCAAGATAACAAAGACTTGCTTGAGCATTCAAAGTATGGCTGATGAAAGTCAGTTAGTGGGTGAGACAAAGCCTAGAGGAGCATCAGGTCTGTGGTTCATGCTATGGAGTTTACTCATTTTCATATAGTATAATCATATGATTTATTTTGAATCTTTTTAAATATTTTGCATAAAATGTTTTTTCCCCTATTTTTGCAGACATTTTTATGATAACCCTATCCAGCTTGTTGGAAAATCTGCTTTTCAACACTTACCAGAACTCAGAACTTTGTATGTGTTTACTTTTTTATTTTAATTGTCTTTATATAGTGCGCTATTGCAATTGCCCCACACTTCCCTCACAATAATGATACTGAAATGATGTTTTTAAATTCCAGGACTTTAAATGGTGCTTCACAGATAACAGAGTTTCCTGATCTGACTGGGACTACAAGTCTGGAGAGTCTGTAAGTGCTAGAGAAGTACTCCCTAGTATGCAAAATAAATGAGTTTATTTGCTTTGTTTTGTATCTGGGATACTGACTTATTTTAAGGGAAGTCCTAAAAAAAGAAGTATTTGCTTTGCAGTGTTTAAAAAGTAATTTTTTTTTTTTTGTAAATACTTTCAACAGGACACTCACAGGAGCACAGATCACCTCTCTGCCCAAATCAGCTTGTGACCAGTTACCTAACCTCCAAATGCTGTACGTTTCAGTAAGATTGATTACATCTTACATTATCACAAGAGATCAGTGGACAAATGAAATGATTATTGTTTTGAAATTACCACTTTCTGCTATATCTATGTATCACATTACTGCTTAGGAACTCAGATCAAGGAGCAGGCCTTCATTTTGCTCAGTAGTACCAGCTTCAAAAACCTCACAGTCCACTCCTCAGTGAGGATTTCCCATGCGTTGTTGAAAGAGTCCTTTTCACATATAGTTACTTTGCATATTTTTAGGAGAAGGTAAAATTTTCTGTGATTTTGTTTGAAAAAAAAAAAACAGAACAACTTCTATGGCCTTGTTTGTGTTCATTCTGTCTCTCCTACGCTAGTCTCTTTTTTTTTTCCTCGTTGAGGCAGATAAGTCGGTGAAGTCAATGGAAAATATAACTGAGTAAGGAGTGCAGTTTTCAGTCTTTAGTATGCTTTTCTTTTACTTTCTTTTCCAACCAGACTTAAGTAGTTGACTGAAATTTTACCAGACTATTCCTTGGCATGTTGGGGCATAGTTTTTATGCTAACTCTCCAATATTATTTTAGCTTGGAAATATCCTTGGAGCATATCACTAACGAAAGTAATCATTGTGTCCGCTTCTTTGAGAATGGGCCAACAGCACTTTCCTCTATGTATTACATCACTAGGAATGTATTTAGTATTAGTTCTCTTGGCCAACGCTGAAGTAGCACTAATTATAACACATTATTTGAATACCAGTGTGGATGTCACGAACTGTTTCTAGAAAAATTAAGTTTTAGTTGATGGACTCATTATAATCATTTCCAGAATGATAAAAGACAAAACCAGAGTTTGCTGCCAGAAGAAAGTTTGCACATAGACTTAAGTTAGGTATGTCTTGTGTTATTCAAAAAGGATAAATAATCTCTAAACAGAAGGAAAATAAATATTATAGTACTATAAATACAGTTCACAACACAATTCATAGTAGAGTGGGACCCTCCATTGAAAGTTCACATGTTATATTTTCAAGTATCACTCTGTATTACTAGAGCTGACATTTAATAGGTTGGAGAACGAATCTGACAGCAGTGTTGTGTACTCAGAGTTGCTCTTTCCCCATTCCCATCAGATTGGGACAAACCCGCCAAGCTCACATTTAAGTTTCCACATTCGTTTTGTCTATCCCATGAAATATCATTGGGTGCTGAACTCCACAAGTCATTTGGAAGCAGCGATCTTGAAGAGTGCCTGGCTGAGACACAGCAAAACACCCTGCTTTGAAACACAAATACTACAAGTGCAAACACTGCTTTGAAAGTCAATTTGGGCATCCTCCCTAGCCTGCAATGCTTCCAAATGTGGACTAATGTACGTAGAGGCTTCCTGTGTGTCTGTGCACCTGCAGCAAAGGTGTATCTGTACAAGTATCTGAAGGGGGGGTGTCAAGAGGATGAGGCCAGTCTCTTCTCCGTGGCGCCCAGCGACAGGACAAGAGGCAACGGGCAGAAACTGAAGCACACGAAGTTCCATCTGAACCTGAGGAGAAACTTCTTTCCTGTGAGGGTGCCTGAGCACTGGCACAGGTTGCCCAGAGAGGTAGTGGAGTCTCCTTCGCTGGAGATCTTCAAAACCCGTCTGGACGTGATCCTGGGCAATATGCTCTAGAGGACCCTGCTTGAGCAGGGAGGTTGGACTAGATGCTCTCCAGAGGTCCCTTCCAACCTAAACCATCCTGTGATTCTGTGAACATGGTCCCAGCAGTCCTCGCAAGACGGCTCTCAGCACGAGTCGGTGTGCACCTCAGCATGGGAACCATAACCACTTGCCTTCTGCTCGTGTATTAACAAAGTATGTAAACAAGGTGGAAAAAAAAATCCTTAAAAATGAACAAGTAAAATATTTCATAGTGCTCTATCTGAACTGAGCAGAGGGGGATTTTTTTTTTTTTTTTGATGTGTAGAGGGGGAATGTCAGTATGTAAAAAAAATCCGAGTCGGTAACATCCTTTTAAGAATACCTAAGTCACATGTCTATGTGACAGAATAGTCATAATCCACCAGATATACCAAACATTTTTCACCTCAGCTGAAAAGCCTCCAGCTCTCTAGAACTGTTCTCTGATATGCCTGATTTGGACCACAGATTACCTGTGAACAGCACAAAAACGGAGTCAGTAATCGTCCCTCCTGTAACAAACAGGTATATATATTGATAGTACCCTATGTGCGCAGTAAAGAGTGGGATACGTTCAGTTCACACGCTGTCATTGCTTGCACCATTTTGACAAATCACATATAGAATATATGAAATGCCCTTATCAGGGTAGTAACAGTGAACATTAAATTATATTTTTTTTGAAGGACACAACTTCATAGACATGAACAAGTAAAAGTTTTAAAGAATTTGAAATAGGCATGGAAACATATTGCTCTTTAGATGGATAATATTAGATAACAGTGGAAAAGGACATCTTCTGTTTATGTTTGTAATACTCTCTTTATAGGCAAAATTCCCATTCGGTTTAGTGTGAGTATTCCCTGAGCAAGATGTACAGGATGAGACTATTGTTCGGAGAGGGGAGCGGTGTTGGTTCTTTTTATTTTTTCTTTCCAATTTCTGCAAATTGCCAGGGCTTGTTTTTGATTAGTTATGCTATACTATAAATCAGTCCAGATGTTTCACTTATTCTGTAATTTGTTGAGTTTTGGCTCAAGTATTTTTTAGGGTTTTTTCCTCCATGTAGTGATTGATTTCCAAGTTAGTTCCAATATGTTTTTAACCACAGCTCTCAACTAAAAGATGTAACAGTTCTAAGGGTCAGAGGCAATACTTTTTAATTTAAAGTGTAGAATGGAAAGCTGATTACTGGTCAATGTGACTATAGCCAGAAAATATAGGATCTTCTCTGACAAAATATATGTATTTGGTAGATAATTTTAAATGATGTACTTGTCAGACATTAAACTTGATGAATATGAAGCTAGTCCATAAAAGCATAGTGCAGATTTCATTACTGTGAAATACTCAAGACATCTACGTTTCAGGCAGGAAGTCTTCAGACAATGCAAGGAATTTTCAAGCATAGGATATGGATTTAATGCATCCTAACTTTTCCCCTCCCCTTCCCTCCTCCTCCTCAGTTAGAAGTCAAAAATCTGACAGATGAGAGATAATAACTGAGACTGCACATTTCTATTCCCTTGTGAGTGTGAGTAAAAACAAGTTATTTTTAAATCTAGCGTGAAGGTAGACAATGAAAGGAAAACTTTTTCTTTTAATGTTACCTTGCTGTTAATCTTTCCTTTTTTTTTTCTTTTCTTGTGTATTGCAGGGATCTGTCTTACAATCTGCTGGAAGATTTACCCTCTTTTACTGCATGTAAAAAGCTCCAAAAAATGTAAGCTTCAAACTGTCCTAAAATGCTTAAAAAGAGGTATCTGTATACAAATTTGCTTGGACATCATTCATTTTGTTATTGCCAGGCAATATGACATATCCCAAATGCTTACCCTTACAATGTAAGAAAGTTGATCCATAAACACAGTCTAGAATACCCCAAAGCGTCCTCCAAGTGTTTTTGAAACCAATGAGATTCTTATTGCTGTTTCAGCGACTTGCATCACAATGAAATCGATGAAATTAAAGCAGACACTTTTCAGCAGCTGGCTGCTCTGCGTTCTCTGTGAGTACAGCCGTTACAGCGATTCACCTGGGTTCTCAGAAACATGAGGCATATACTGTCTGCCCGAAAACATTCCTGTTTCTATTTTTCCTCACTTGGATCATTCACCCGTTAGGTCGTAAGCAGAGTAAACATTGTGAAGTTGAGCATCTGCAGCAATGAATTCAAAGATGTAAGCACATAGCCATAATAGCTGCTGCTTCTAAACATTTCTGGTGGAAGTGGAGAGAGATACTGAGCCAGAGCTAGTACCTGTTGGCAGGTTCACAATAACTGGCTCTAGAAAGTATGAAATCTTTTTATAGAGGATGGTATGTTAAGAAATACCTTCCAATCCTGCTTAGGCTTATGGTTTTTACTCAGACAAGTACTCTAGTAAGATAACATTGTGTAATTTTCAAGGGTATAAGCCTTTGCAAGATTTAGCTCATAGATTTTTTTTTTTTTTATGATTTATTTTCAGTCTTTTGGATTTTTCAAGGGAGGTGAAGATTCTGGTTAGGAAGCTTATGGACAATGGATTTGCTTTTCCTAGTTATATCATGAGAAACTCTTAGAAGTAGTGCATATACCCACTCTTCTTTCTGCTGCCTTGGGAGACTGTGAAGCAGACTAAAAACAACTGAGTTAGTTAGAGTATAGAAGTCATTAAGAAGTTTTAGAAAAAGTTGTCATTTTAATAACCAACACCATTAACTGAGTAACATCATTTAAAAACTGGAAAAAGACATCTCATTATGAGATATGCAGAAGTTTATTGAAAATATTTGCATGTAATTAATACCTTTTTTATATTTAGACATCCTAATCGAATGTATGAAAACTACCATATTTGCTCAGTGGGTACGTAATTTTCCACTCACTTTTCTTGTAGGGATTTAGCTTGGAACAAAATTAAAATTATTCATCCCAATGCATTCTCTTCTTTACCATCTCTGATCAAACTGTAAGTATTTATATATCTTTTATGTTTAAATTTTCACATATTTCTTGCAAGAGCATATAAAAACGTAATGCCTTAGTGCCTCACTCAGCAGAAATTGAGGTTTTCTCTATTGTAATTCTCTGGTAAAATGAATTCCTGTCTAAATGTCTGCTTTCTCATACTTCACCAACACCCTTGGTTTTATGGCAAATCTGCATATACCACTGTGTAATCACAGTGATTTTGGGTCCATGAAGTACATCAGTGTATCTGCTTTTCTTCTGTTAGTTTGTTAGTAGTTTAGTCTCTTGTAGCAGTGTTTCCAGGGCAGATTTCTTAGTCCTGATACAGAAATAATAAGAAATCAGATTCAAAATTGCATGCCATTTTCAAGTAAACATCTTTTTTTCTCATTTGATGGAACAGGTTTTCTTCTTTAGTGACTTCAGCCAGAGTAGTTAGTGGTCAAAACATCAGAGGCCTGGTTTTGCAGGCTTTATTCACAAGCTCTTCTCAGTCTTTATTAATTTCTTCCTGCTTCCCGTTATCATTGGAATACCTCTTCAAGGTGACTCCCTGAGGCAGTGGGTATATGGGGAAGACCTGAAAGAAAATTCCTTTGGACTTATCTTGCTCACAGAGACATACTGCTGGGCATCTGCTCACAGATAATCTAGTAGCTGCTGGGAAACCTACATTTGGAAAACTGATGTAGGCTGCATCAGCATCCTGTTGACGTGCAAGCCTCTGCTCTTGATGGTGCACTGACCAATGTCCATAGACAGAGCATTGCCTATGGCATGCTGGTATTTTTTGACCCTCCTCAGGGCTTTTCTGCAGAAGAAAGTAAATGAGAAATGGATGAGGGAACGCCATTCTACCAGCAGTAAACTGTAGCTTTGGTCTATAGCACTGAACAATCAGAGAGCATTGAAGAAAAATGCCCTTTAACACACACAGTAAACCAATGTACCAGTGTTACCTGAAGTGCTGGTCTGGTCTGACTCATCTTGATCTGTCAGATCATCTTGATCTGACTGAAATCAATAGTAGTTTTCCATTTCAGTAGGACCAAGATTTCACCTTTGGTACTTAACCATGTTGTGAGTAATATCACACATGCACACAACCAGAAAAGGCAGAAGACCAGCACATCAACTCCTGTTTTATGACTAGCCTCTTAGATTTCAGTAGATAGTCCAAAAGAGCCCACCCTTGGCATAAAAACATTTCAAAAGCAATCCCCTTCTTTCTCCTTCATGGGTGTTGACCAGCTGAAATATTGCAGTGTGGATTATGGTGAAGAGGACTGAAAAGGCTTGTAGAAGAAATGGGGGAGAGGGCGAAGTGGAGAAAAGCATACCTCTGAACTTCTTCCTCTTTCATTACTTCACATATTTCTCTGTGGTTGCAGTCACTTTTTCTTTCATCTGCTTTACTTTCTCTAAGCCATGTAGCCACGTTCATCTGTATTGTCTTTCCTCAGCTGCTCAGACAAACCTCAGCTCAGAAATGTCACCTTCATTCTCTCCAGCCTAGACCTGTCCTGCTCTGAAACACACTTCTTCTCCATCCACTGGCCCTACTGCTCATGGAGGATTCAGAGCAGCCATTTCCTTCTGCATCCCACTGAACTGTTTAAGCTGCAGGAATTTGTTCTGGTACTGACTCCCTTTCATACCAACAGCCCAGTGAACTGATTTTAAATTAATTTGCTAGTCTCAAAACTGGCACTATGAATGCTTGAAGTCAAAACTTGACAACAGAGCTTGCTCTTCGCAAACTGCTAGATATTACTGTTAGCTTTCTGCTAGATACATAGATTTTTCTTGTGAATGGTGTTGCAGATTTGCTGTGCTGACTGGGGCCTCTGCTTAGCGCAGTGATCTTTGATAGTTAGAAACGGATAACTTCTTTTTCCAACATGACACTTCTAGTGCTGAAGAAAAAAAAAAGAAAACCTGTAAGCTGATTGATTGTTATTTACTGTTATGCAGGGATGTGTCATCCAACCTTTTGTCCTCTTTTCCTGTGACGGGGCTGCATGGTTTAACTCATTTAAAATTAACAGGAAATCGTGCCCTACAAAGTTTGATATCATCTGAAAATTTTCCAGAACTCAAGTGAGTATATCATTAAAACTAATAAGCCACATTTGGATTCATGTGCAATAGAAGGTGTGTCAATGTCTCAAAGGCATGTTGCTTTGTTTTATCAGTCTTTGATCTCTGCTATTAAAACTAAAGCAAATATGATAAAAATATGATAGACTTATTTTATTATGCTCACTTTTAACTGAAGAAACTATGAAGGGTTTTGAAATATTAACCCCAGTACTTGCTTAATATGAGCCACATCTGCTTCCTGGTGATATGTTTCAAAAGCTGCTAAAACAATATTGCTAGCAGCTTAGTGATATGCCCTTCTTCTGCTGGCTGTTCTTACAGAACTTCCATTAAATTTAATGAGAACTCAGTAAATATCAAGGAAAGAATATCCTCCTGACGTTTTAAAATATGTGGTCATATTTGTTTAAAGTAGAAATGAACAGGTTTTACCTTTAATCTTTTGATTAAGATTCAGCTAATACTTGTCCATCATTATTAAAACGTTTTGATGCTGATTGATAGTTTTCTGCTGGATGCTCTGTGATACAGGAAGGAAATGTTTTCTAGAGATTATTTGCAGCTCTGCTAGTCACTGGATGGTCATAGAGAAATCATATTAAGGGGAGATTTGCCTCCAACTTTAGGGTATTTGGGAGTGACCCCTAACTATCCTAGTTCCTTTGATTTTTGCATTTTAATTGGAAGATGCCCAAGTGCAAAACATATCTTTATTCCTCATTTCCCCATTCTACTGTAAAAGGTTTAATATCATAAAATTTGAAACAAATACCGTGTGCATAGTTATATCCTCACTAGATTCAGCTGTTGCACTGCAAAAGTTCCGTAAGTGCTAGCAGGCAGGCAACTCAAGGAGACGTATCACTTGTGAGAAGGACTAGGGTGATCTGGAGTTATAAATAAGGGAGTGATGAGTAGGAATAGGAAGCTGATTTAACCTCAGTACTGGAGAGATTCACACTAGAACACTTCTATGGTGGTGCATTAATATAATCAGAGAGAAGAGCTGCAAAAAATGGTTCCAGGGTTAGGAACACATGCCTTAAAAGACTTAATAAAGCCAGTATCTGTAGTTTGCGGCAGAAAAGATTGGGCAATGACTTGACTGCAGTATATGAAACTGTTATATAATGAAAACAGTCAAAGTACTAGAAGCCTTGCACAAGTCTCCAGATTGGTGTCAGAGGTCAAGAATCAAGTACTATAAGAAATCCTATAATGGCTGAAGCTCAGTTTTTATCACAGTTTTTCTTCTCTGGCTTTGTCCACATGTTGAGGTAGATGACAATTCTAAATAGCTGAAGGTTCTTAAAAAGCGTGTAAATACCAGAAAATCCGAGAGTCCCAGCTAGCAAATGTACAGTGATATATATGTATATGCCGTGGCCTACAGGCATAGGAAGTATAGCTCCTAGAATAATTCACTATTCAACTGAATTATGTACAACTAGGATTTGTTAATTCTTTTATTAAAACTATATTTTATATGATTTTTTTTTCCCCCAGTAAAATTATGTATCTTGCTAAAATGCAACTACAGTGAGTTTAAGCCATATAAGTACTTAACAAGGAAGTGTCAGGAAAAAGCTGAAGTCATTCAAAAAGGTATAAGAGATGTGATTACATATCTAGAGCTGATTGATCTCTTTAAGAGCAAAGGATGTCTCATCAGGAGAGACTGGGGTAAAATCTTAATCTGGAGTTCCTTAGGACTTTTACCATAAATTAAATTGGCCGTGACTTAACAAGGTCGCTGCCTGGGCAATGAATAAAGCACCAAACTTGAACAGAGATCTAAAACAAAACTAAATTTCACCCTTTGTAATTTTTGGAACCAATTGTATTGGTTACAATATTAAAGACAAATTCCTGTATAAAAGCTTCCTGCTCCTCTAAGTGGGTCATTGCTGTTCAATACAGAAACATCAAACAAACAGCTGAGCATCTTCTGCCCCACCTTCAGCAACGGCACAAGAATGCACACAGCCTAGCCCAGCCTGCTGTGGCAAGCTATGAGGAAATAAAGCCATGTTGCCAACCGCTCCTTCCTTCTTTATCTGACGCTTTGTTTCAGTACTGCGAAGAATTCAGTTACTAGCTCCGTGCATCGTAACTATGCATTCCCATTCACTGACAACCCATACCTTTGTGAGCTGAAAAATGACACTGTGTTCTCTGCTGCTTAACTGAAAAACAAAGAAAGTATTCCTTGCTTCAGGGAAAAAAAAGAAAAAAAAGGAAGGATGCAGATACCATCAGTAAGATAAGCAGTATATAAAAACAGATTCAGCCAACGTTTTTTAAAGAATTTAATTTGACAAAGTCCAAATCACCCATATCAAATAGGCACCAGCCATAAAAAGAACTGCTTCCAGCCCTGTGTGACTGGAAATGGGAGTCTTACTCTTTAATTTAGATAGCCTAAAAGTTTTTGGAGCGTTGGCCACTTTTTGGAAACAGGATAATGTGAGAGGTCCAGATTTCTTCTCTAAGACTGGCCATCAGACTGGTAGAAGGCCAACAGCATCTGGAAACCTGTCATTATTAGGCATAGGGAGCTCTCTGATTAACCAGAGAATACATTAGTAGTAGTCACTTGAGGCTGAAATATCCGCCAGCTAGTCTTTCCCCCAGCAGTATGAACTTCCAAAAAGGTCACACCATCACCTTGCAGAACTTTCAATGGTCTTTTTTAATAAGGTTATTTTTGTTAGAAAAGGGGCATTTCTACTTCTAATCAGGTCATGGGCATTGCTTTTCAGCCTAGAAGGTGACTAACTCTGGAGTAGTCTATTAACCTGTGGGTTTAATAATAGTTTATTTAAGGACAGCTTCTGGCAAATTTTTACAAAAACATTCAATCAGATAATCTCATTATTTTAAAAGACCATATGCACAGAAACGAGTTAAGAAATTAAATGTTTAGATCTGCTGCCATTAAAGCTGCTTGATAGTTAAATCTTGGTTACCTTGAACTTTACTGCAGTACCTAAAAAAAAAAAAAATTCCTTTTGTAAATTTTTGCATTATGTACAACAGTACGGCTTATTGTTGCTCATTCCCAGCAAAAGTATCAGCAAGTAGAAACTAAGTGACCCAAAATGCACTAATACAAAAAAATAACTTTAGCCCCTGGGGTTAGTTTGTTCCCCTTTGTACCAAGCCTTTTGACTAGTGCGCAAGTTTAAGTCCCATTGACGCTAGGCCTTATTCACAGATTGATCCCTTTGTAGATTTCCCAGGACATTAAGGGTTGCTTAGAGTGCTCGTTATGTTAATTTACATGATTAAACTGTTAAAAGTAATCTGATAGTAGGATGTAGCTCTATTTTATTCCCTTTAAGTTAAGTTAGAATAACTTCTAATCGCCTCTTTTATGTTTGAACTTTTTGGTTGATTAGGCTTTTGACATGAAGGTGAATTGTTAGGTTTTACTGTGTATTATTGGAGAACAGTGTAGATTAAGTATATCTACTTCCAAAGCATAAAGTATATCTAAGAAATAGAAGAAATCGTTTGTAGAACTTGAATATATGTAGCTCTTCCATACTACCCCAGAATTTGCACATGCCCAAAGTAATGGAATCCAAAACATACAGGAAATCAGCAACTGTCTGACAGTAGAAACCCTCAAAATCATTGAAACTCACTGACCAATACCCAGTTATGTGTTAGGAATACCAGTGATCTTAAAAGAATTAGTAGTGGACATCCAGTGTACTGTGATCACCTCGTTCATTCCTATGACAATTAATAAAGTAAAACCTTTTCTTTTGTGACATTGCTTTCACATATGATGTTTTTGATGCATTCACCGTTCAGTTCAGAACATTGCTTTGTTGGTCTGTGCATGAAAGATGATCTCCTTTCTGCTGTTTCACTGTGAAAAAAGTTTGAGGTGGAGAGAAGTGGATGAAGTTTGAATCCAAAAGTAGATCTCATTTTCCTAAAATTGGAGAAATTCCATTTGGGAAATGATGTTTTATTTTTGCCTGCTATGCAGGTAGAGGCAGTTGTGATCTTTAGATCTGCTTTTTAAAAAGAAAACATGAAGGAAGTGACATGTTGAGCTACACTGTAAAATCGTTAAAAATCATAAAATACAAATATGATTCTCAGAGCAGCATTCATTCAACTGCAAGTCATCTATCTCTCACTGCTTCTTTAAATATAAAATATTTAAATATAAATATAAAATTTATAAATATTACTAAATATGTCCATCATGAAAATATATAGGAAAACTTCATTAAGCCTTTAGTAAAATCAGCCTAGAAATCATTTGCATTTTGAGCCATGGAATGTTGTCTGTGAATCCTCCATTTTGTATTACCAGGACTGATTTTTACCCATTTTTACTTTCAATCATGGTTATGATTGAAATTCCTCTGTGCTGGCCTCAGAGGAGCAATACAATCCAGTAACTCTGGTACTCTCAACCTTGGCATGCTTCCTTGTACAGGGTCATGGAAATGCCTTATGCTTATCAGTGCTGTGCCTTTGGAGTTTGTGAGAGCCACTACAAAATCTCCAACCATTGGAACAAAGATGAGAACAGCAGCATTGACGATTTTCACAGGAAGGATGCTGGATTGTTACAAATTCAAGGTAATCCTTGTCTTTTGCTTTTAAATCTTCCTAAAGCCTATGATTTTTCCAGAGAAAGGAGTGGAAGTTCTGACCCTGAGTTTCACAGGAGCAGCCCGTGATATTAAGTAAACGTGGTACTCTTTTCCAGGTGGAGAGATAGCCTCTCCCTCTCTCTTGCCCAATAATATGTTATTCAAGCGTTGCCGTACTTAGCAAACTCATTGTGTCAGGTCAGCCTTTCAAAAGTCTCGATCACTCTTCTTTCCATCTAAATGCTAGCAATAATAATGCAGAAAGTGGAATCTTCCCTGTAACTGAGAGGAAGGGAAACAGTGCTAGTATGTTGCAGTACGTACCATAGCATAGCAAGCCAGCAAAGATTCAGGTCACCGTTTCTTGCCAGGCTTGGAGGTAGTAGCTTGTCCTTGGCTTACGTGTGCTGTGTACCTGCTTCAGGATGAGTCAGAGCGCTAGTATGGCTAACTTGGTATCCCTGCTAGTGTTTTTTTCTGACGCTTCCTGAGTACCAAAGAGTGCATTTGCTCTCCAGGTTAGAATATTACTGTATGTTTCCTCCTCTTCAGCACAGGGTCTGTTACGTGACCTGTTACTGTAAGTGTATGCGTGTTATACTATCCTGCTGCTTTCTGTGCTATCTCTATTCCTGCAAACCAGTACGTTTCAGAGATCAGGGCTGGCTCGAGCAAGAATGAAGCCAAGAACACATGGTGAAGCTATGGCATAAAAAATAAAAAGGAGCTGGGTTAATTCTTAGTAGGTAATGGAGAGCCTACCTTTCTGAAGGTGATTATTTCAGAGATGTGATAGTGCCAACTTTTTAAATGTTCCTGAGTACAGTGATTCAAAACCAAGTAAGCTTATGTCTGCTTCTGCTTATGGTTTGGCAGGCGAAGAGACAAGACCAAGCCTTAAATACAACAGACATATTTTGCAATATATACTGAAAGAGATTTTCCTAAAAAAGGCTGTACCAAATTTGGGTATTTTCTCCCCCACAGATGAACGTGACTTTGAAGATTTTCTTCTTGACTTTGAAGAGGATTTGAAAGCTCATCATTCAGTGCAATGTTCGCCTTCTCCAGGTATGGAACTGCTAGGCAGATGGGAAACCAAATACACCTTTACCAAATATTTGAGATGCAGAACAAACTCTGAATCTGGTACTAGGAAGTAACATGATGTTTTGAAATAATTTGGTGAGACCAAATACATTTTACAATAATATAAATTTTGCACTGAAGTCCAGAAAACTATTCAGCTACTGAGTTCATCTATGAATATACTGGAAGTTTTACCCAGTCCTCAGGCAGATCTTCACTCCAGGCCTCTTATCAAAAGTTATTAAAATCTGTTTCTAGCAAGAAGAACATGTAGAACAGAGTCTTTGCTCTCTCATTCCTTGTAAAACTAAGTTAATTCCTCTGAACTGCATTGAGTTATTCTACACTTTAACTCCTTGAAAAACACAGTTTAGTTCAACTGCTAATAAATACCAAACACTGCTGTTTTGGTCCTACACAGGCCATCACAAAGGACTCTCACCACTGTCATTTTCGTTATAGAGTAGTGCATCTGTGGCTTAGCAATGTGGAATGAAGGAAGAAGAAATGCTTCAGTTAAACTGCAAAGCTGCAGGCCATCGATTCCACTGAAAGATTCCTTTAAAGCAAGGAAAGAAGCATGTCCCTGGAATGTCTCTCCTTGCTTTAGCAGTGGTGGTCATGGGCTTTGCTAGCCTGATTCAGTAAACGTTTTCCCTAGCCATTCCTTCCTTGTGAAACGTGAGCAAAAAACCCCAAGTGACAGCTAGTGCTTCAGCATTCATTCCAAGCCAAGATTCTTGTCTGTAATAGCAAATAACAAAACAGAAGTTACATAAGCAGGAATAGAAAAGATAGGAGGCCAAAAAATTTGGATAAATTTGGCCACTCATATTCTCCTATGGCCTTATTATAACTACTGAGTTCACAAAAACATCACTGTCTTCAAGTGACACAAACACAATAGAAAATGTTGCGTCCATGCTGACCTTTCAAATGGTATCTTAGAAAAACTTGCAAACTAGCACATAGCTGCTTCTTCCCACTTGATGGCGATGGCTGTACCTGCATGGAGTACCTCTCAGCTGTAAGGGTTGTGTCTTTGCAGAGAGGTACAGATCACTGTGGAGGACTTTGAGAGAGCACAGTTATCTGTGAGACTATAGGGAAAAATAATGCTTCTGAGACTTTGGAGTATTCAGCTTCAATCACACAGCATACACACCTCAAATCTATGACATTACACAGCAGACTTCAGCCATGACTTGCCTTTACAGGAAGAAGGACTAGCTCTAGTCTTACTTCAATCACAGATCCCGAGAAGCACTTCCAAAAAGGCAACACTTCCAAATGCAAAGAAAACCTCAACTTTCCACAACTCTGACCCCTTCAGATCACAGGTTTTTTCAGGCTGCTTAGATGATGAAACCAAGCAGCTATATCGATCCTCTCCTCTCATGACCTACCTCACAGACACCATCACAAGAAACTACAAAAATGACAATCCAGTTTTATTTGCTGCCTATCCTCAAACTACCTTCCTAATTTATCTTCATATCTTCCTCCTTCAGAAATGAGGGTGGTTAGCAGGGAAAATGATTTTACTTAATATTTTCTGATCTCTAAAGACCCAAAGGGCCCACCTTGGATTCCAAAAACTCAAAGCATCCACCTGCCAGCTGAAATTATATTCACCTCCATAATGCTTTTCCTAAATTTGGTGACATAGGTGGCATTTCAACTTTCATGATGCGTACTTCAGCAGG